TGACATACCTTTTGATGGAGCTTGAAGTCTTGAATCTTTAAGAGCTTAGTGCATCGAGTGTTGCACCTCAAATGGAATCACACAACACCTAGAACCCTTGGAATAACTAGAGAATAAGGATACTTGCACCAAATCGGTTTTTCCTTATTGTGTACTATACACTAGTGCCTAGCCCACATTTTATGAACCATGTACCTCTTTATATATTGTGGAGGATTAGGGTTACATTCATGTAAACCCTAATACCCATGACCTTTCATTTCCATAGTATCCATGGGTTAAACACTCCATGGACTATCCATGAAAGCTTAGCCCAACCTAAATGAACTTGGCCCATCCTATATATATAAGAGTCCATATTTAATTAGTTCCTTTTGATCACTAAATTTATTCTAAATTAATTCTTGATCAATACTAATTAAATAATATGATTCCATATTAATATATTAGAACTTATAATATATTAATATAAATCATAAGTATCCTTTTTCTCATTTTGTCTATCCAATTGTTACGATGCCATGCAACCCAAATGGACCATGCCAAATCGGGTCAAGTACATACCAATTATAGTATTGGACATAGACACTAATCCAACACTCACATGGTCCAGATCTGAGGTCCAAACCTCTATATGTACTCAAAACACTCAAAGTCCTAAAGTTAGATGGAAAAAGCCCTAATCTCCCAAAATCATGAGATCTACTCAATAAAATGAGAAAGGTGCGAACTTTTACCTTTTACAGAAGCTCTAGGATGAAATAACAACGGATCTAACAACCCCTTCTCGTCCCTTGGCTTGGAGTCCTTCCCTTCTCTTCAAAAGATGCACCAAACACTTAAAGTTAGCTCAAATACTCTCTCTTATCTCAATGGCCGAATATGGTTTTCTCTCAGAGAAGATGGACAACTGATGAGCCGTAAATGAGGCTATAATTGTCCTTAAATAGGCCGCAAACCCGGGGATTTAGGGTTTCATCACTCAGCGTCTACTCGGCGAGTCGACTCTCTGACTCGTCGAGTAGGTCATTTATCCCACGTGGCCATACACGACTCTACTCGTCGAGTTGCTCAATAGATTTCCAAAATGAATAAATAAATAATATACCTGGGAATCCGGATGTTACAGCAAGGGGTCCGAGTGGACTTGGGAGCCAGAGGATGAGATGAGGGAGCATTACCCAGAGTTATTTGAGGCAGTAGACTTCGAGGACAAAGTCTGAAATAAGTGGGGGAGAACTCTAACGCTTGTATCCTGGTATGTATTTATTTTTCTATTATTCAAATTATAAGAGCAACTCGACGAGTTGGAAACCCCAAACTCGTCGAGTGGAGAATATAAGGGCCGCGTAAATAAGTGACATACTCGACGAGTTAAGAGGCCTCAATTCGACGAGTAGATCGGCTGGGATGAAAACCTAATTTCCAGGGTTCTGTACACTATTTAAAGGACTTAATTTTCCCACCAGCCCCTCATCATCCTCCCTAAACCCTAATTCGTATTGTGAGCTCGTTGTTGAGAAACTAGAGGTTTTGAGTGGATTTTTGTGTGTTCGTGTGCTTGGTGAAGGACTTGGAAGAACTAGAAGGTCGTCGAGCTTGAGGAGAAGCACCAGATCAGGGATCTCATATGTCTTTTGCAACTTTCTGAGGTAAAAAGTCTCAAACTTAATGCTTAGTAGCTTAGATCTCTCTTAGTTTTGTTTTATGGATCTTTTGACCCCATTATTGGAGCATGATAAACCTTCATAGTCATGATGCTAAAAACTTGTGTTATTTGGTCCTTAGATTCATAAAAAGGATCCTAAACCCGTTCATTCTCAAGAAAAGACCAAATCCATAGAAGGAGGTTGCTATATCTCGAGATTGGGTACATTTAAGGCATGCAAAGCCATCAAGTTGTCGACTTTATAGATGTATACCATGGAAAGAGTGTAGATCTATATTCTGGAACCTTAGATCTGAGGAAAGGGCTTAATGGACTAAGAACTATGAGGAACTCGACGAGTTCATGGAGGAACACGACGAGTTGGGTCGAACAGTCCCGATTCTCTTAAAGGGAAGAACTCGGCGAGTTGGAGGAAAACTCGACGAGTTGCATCGCGATTTCGCGATTCTGTGATTCATGGGAACTCGACGAGTTGAAGGGTAAACTCGACGAGTTGATTCAACTCAGAGCATTAACTTTGACTTTGACTTTAACTTGACCTTGACTTTGACTATGGTTGACCCTAAGGAATTATAAGTATGGTATCTAAGGGGTTGTATTGGTTCAGGGAGTGAGTAGAGCTGATTTCCGGGGCAGAGACGTTGCAGCTATCATCCGACATTTGAGGTGAGTTTCCTCTTGTAGGAACGGGTCGAAGGCACCAATGCCGACCCATTTATGTATGTTAGCATGTTCCGGATTAAGGCCCGATGTCGGGCGGTGCCCGATGAATGTTTATATGCTTTTCGAATTTCTGTCCGATGCTGGGCAATGCCCGAGCAATGTTTGTATGCTTCATGTCTTTGTGATTCTTGCATGTGTCTGTATTTGTATGTTTCCGGATTTCGGTCCGATGCTGGGCAGTGCCCGAGGAATGTTAGTATGCTTCCGGATTTCGGTCTGATGCCTGGCGGAGCCCGATGAATGTTTATATGTTTATGTTATGTGATTATTTATGTGTATTTGTTGATATGTTTATATGTATACTGAGCTTTGCTCGATGTCGGGTGGGGCCCGATGCTAGACTCTATCCGATGCCGGGCAGGGCCCGATGTCGGACTGTGTCCGATGCCGGGCGAAACCCGATGTCGGAGACTGTCCGATGCAGAGCGAGGCCCGATGAAGCGGACGAGGCCCATGATATGTTATTATGTGATTATGTGATTATGTGTATGGTATGTGGTAGTTTGGGGTGACTCACTAAGCTTCGTGCTTACAGTTTTCAGTTTTGGTTTCAGGTACTTCCAGTAGCAAGGGGAAGAGTTCGGGATGACTGCATTGCACACACCACGATGTTTTAGCCTGAGATGTTTACTCTGATATTTTGACATATGTTTTTGGATATGATGTTTTGAGATGCTATAAGTTACATTTTGGATGAGATGATTTGATAACTACGATTATTTATAATCTAAAAAAAAAAATTTGGTCATGATTTTTGGGGTGTTTCATAAGATCTTTTTTTGTACATATTAGACCAACATGGTTGTTATAAACTTTTAAAAATGGGTAATAATGTTTTAATTTTGTCCACATTAGGTCCCTATTTTTTATATTTTTATCATATCATCTAAGTCTTTTACAGTTTATATTAGTATCTAGTTACATGACTTCATCATTTGATGTTCTCATTTTACTCGTCCATTCACCACAACCATGGTTTCATTTGAAAGGTTACATAACAATTTTTTTGGTCATTTTTACAAATAAAAAAAACTAATAATAATCATAGTCCTAATGATTAAGACTATGTTTGGCGTGCCACAGCTAGCTGATAAGCTAGTTTATTTGTCAATATTTTTTTAGTTGTCATGTTTGGCAAACCAAAAAGTAGCTTATAAGCTAACGTTTTAAAAAGCTACTTAGACAAGTATTTTAAAAGTTTTTTTTTTTTTAAATTTCTAAATATACCCCTTAATTAATTAAGAAAACATATTTTTTAAATGCCCTCTTATTTCATTATATAAATTTTAGATAGCCTACAAGCCAGTGGGGAAGCCAATGTCAAAGTAAAAGAGTATCCTCGAAAAGTAATCGAGTATCCCCGATAAGTAATGGCTCCGCCAATGGGGTATCCCTGATACACCATTACTTATCGGGAATACCACATTACTTGTCATGGATACTCTTTTACTTTGACCCTGACTCTGCCACTGACTAATAAGCCATCTGAAATTTATATAATGACATAAAAGGGCGTTTAAAAAATATTTTTTCTTAATTAATTAAGGGGTATATCTGGAAATTAAAAAAAAAAGCTTTTAAAAAACCAGTCTAAGTAGATTTTTAAAACGCTAGCTTATAAGCTACTTTTTGGTTTGCCAAACATGACAATTTAAAAAAGATCGAAAAATAAACTAACTTATCAGCTAGTTGTGGCGCGCCAAACAAAACCTTAATCATTAAGACTTTGACAATTATTAGTTTTTTTTTTTTTTTTTTTTTTTTGTAAAAATGTAAAAAAAATTATTATATAACCTTTCAATTGAAACCGTGGTTGTGGTGAATGAGCGACTAGAATGGAAAGATGAAATGATGAAACCATATATAACTAATTACTAATATAAATTATAAAAGAGTTAGATAAAATGATAAAAATATTAAAGATATGGACTTAATATGGACAAAATTAAAACTTTATTATTCCTTTTTAAACGGTTATAACAATCATATTTGTGTAATATGTACAAAAAAAACCTTAAGAACCTAATGTGGATAAAATTAAAACCTTATTATTTTTTTTTAATCGGTTATAACAACCATATTGGTCTAATATGTATATAAAAAAAAACTTTAACGACCTAATGTGGAAAAAATTAAAACCTTATTTTCCTCTTAGATCATTAACCCTTTAAGAATATATTAAACTAATATTATTAAGAATATATTAAACCAATTTTTTACAGACCATGAACACAAAATCAAATGTACAACAAAATTATATTTAGGAATCATCTATCTATCTATGTAATAAACCAATCATTTTGACTAAATTATTAAATTTTTTTTGCATGTCAAAAAAGTTACAAAGTGATAGTAAAAGTAGTGTAATGAATAGAAACCAAAGTTGAGGCAAGATACAAAGGAGACCGTAAACAACTAAACATTAACAGACAGACACTAATATTATTTAATTAACTACACCAAACCCACCATGTTACTGTCAGTCCGCCGCATAAGTGGCGTCACCACTGTTAGCTCTTGCTCTCTATAAAAGCCACCTCATCCAAACAGCTCATCAGCAAAAAACAATTCCACCCCTCCTCAGTTCTCATACCATTTCTCTCGATTGATGGCAGTTCCGTCGACCTTTTTAATGGCCCCATCGTCTCCGGTGGCTGTTCAAAGGTCACTCTGGCACTCACCGGTGCCCTACCTCTTCGGAGGTCTTGCTGCCATGATGGGTCTCATTGCTTTTGCTCTCTTGATCCTCGCCTGCTCCTACTGGAAGCTCTCCCGGAACATACAGAACACCGCTGACCTTGAGTCCGGAGACGCTAAACCAGATAACAACAAGACGCCGGCTGTTACTGTTTTTGAAGAAAAGTATCTCGTTATCATGGCTGGACAAGTGAGACCCACGTTTCTGGCAACACCTAGTTCTAGCAGAGCGTCGTCGTTTGGTAGTAGTAGTTGCGGGAGCAGTTCAATTACAACGTCTGAAGAGAACTCGTTGACTCCGGAGAAGGAAAAAGATGGGAACAGTGATCAGGTACAAGTAACGATCACCGGGAGCCATGAGTCCGCAGATCAGGAGTCTTAAGAATAATATATTAAAGGAAATTTTGTCTTCGAGATGGTGATCTAAGTGAGATGTGGAGTGGTGCATCATAGATATGATAGGGGGTTTTGTAGGTGATGATAGGATTTTTTGTTTGATCGCTGCGGTGAACGTACATAAACTTATGGAGAATCTAAAGAATTTTGCTTCAATTACGAAGATATATTGTCACACGAGTCCAATAAAAATGGTCGAAGTTTCTCTTTGAAGGTTTTAAGTTGCTTCGCAAAAATATCAAAATTAATTCAGAAAAACAATATAAAATAGGTTAATAGTTGCTTAATTATTTAAAAGAGAATTAAATCGGTGTTTAATAACGTGCTTTCCAATTTATCAAAGCTAAATCAGTAAGAGCATTTCTGGAAAAACCTTTTTATTACTTATTTTTATTTTGTCATACACTTACCATTGGAAATAAAATGTTATTAAACGTTCACTGACCAAAAGGTCCAAAACCCTACTCCAAATTCGGTTCCTTTTAACCATACCGATCGGTATAAGGTAAACTCATTGGGCTCACATATCTAAATTTCAGCGAAACTGCAAGTCCAGTTCATGTCTTCTCATTTTTAGTTATGTTCTATGTTTGGAATTGAAACCACTGAAAGCATATATAACAGCTGACCGTTTTTAAAACGCTAGAACCAGGATCTGTCACATCGCTTCTTTAAATTTTAGAACTGATTGAGAGCCAGTATAGGGTACATGTATTCTAAATCTGTTTAATATTTTAATTATACAACCAATACCATGACAATGCTATTATTCTAAAAAAAGCAAAAACCACAGAGAAAAAAGTATACACGATAAAAGTGTGCTTCGTACAAAGAATCTTAGTTAAAAACTAGAAATAGTTTTTATAATAATTGCAAAAAAGTTGATACTCCTTCTCGTTGCTTATACATGCTTTTTAGCTTAATTTAATCGTTTTGTATTTTAACATGTATTTAGGAAATTAATAGTATATCATATCAATCTTGCTTTTATGTCATCTCCATATTTTTTTAGTGAATTGCAAAATTGGTCTGTATAGTCTGTCATTTTCTATGGATTTTGTCCCTCAAGATTTTAAATTACAAATTTCGTCCTTATTAGTAGGGATGAGCATAGGCGGGTACCCGTCTCATTTGGCGAGAACCGGAACCGGAACTGGCGGTTCCTAGAAAGTTAGAACCGGAACCGGAACCGCTCTAAGCAGTTCTTAAATGTTTGCAATCAGTCCCGGAACCGGCGGTTCCGGTTCCGGGAGCGGGTAACCCGGTCACATTAATTTTGTTAACTTTTGTCGACAAAACCGCAATTTAGTTCGATCCAAATCAAATCAATTCGGACTAAAGACGGACAAAATCGGACCAATATATTCTAAACCGGTCTAAGTAACACATATTTATTTGAATATATATATATATATATATATATATATATATATATATATATATATATAAACCGGTTCCGGCGAGTACCCAGCGGGTAGCAGTTCCGAAAAAACGAGAACCAGAACCGGAACCGCTTAAAGCGGTTCCATAACTTTAGGAACCGGAACCGGAGCCGCTTAAGGCGGTTCCCGTTCCAAAACCGGCAGTTCCGAGGCGGTTCCGGTTCCAAAAGCGGGTACCCGGTTCCGATGCTCATCCCTACTTATTAGCATGTTTCATTATAGAATTCGTCATTGGACTTAACATCCATCAAACTTATTCCGTTAATGTGTCACTCACATGATGATATTAATGCATTTTTACTTAAGGGACTAACTCCCAACCCATTACTACAGTAATGGTTTAGTCTAGGCCTACTAAATCAAAGATAAACCCTTTTCTTGGTTGGTATCTCATCTCCAATTCCATCTCGTATCCAAAAAACCGTAACATGAACGACAATAATCTTTCATCATCTGTGGATTTTGCTATGACCGGATTTTCAGATGTGGGTAATTCGTCTATTGGGTGAATACTTTGACACCAGCGACATATATGGTAAGTTGCTCGATTAAACACATTTAAAATCAAATGCAAATATCAAATGTAGTAGATTTAAAATTGTGCTTTTTTTATTAGAGGAAAATCCCACCCTCTTTTTCCGTAGAGATTCACCATGGTGGGAGGTTTACAATATTTATAGGGATAATATATGTTGAAGGATAAGTGTCACTCATTGATTTGGTTGACATAGACAAGTTTGCAGTTCATGAGATAGAGACAATAATGTCTGAACTAGGTTACGTTGCCCAAGCGATTTAAAATCTTAAAGGTCGGATTGACAAAAGCAGGGAGACATGAGGTCATCTGAGATTAAAGGAACAATCATCGGATGGAGTGAGAGATAGGGAAGTTTATGCTGCGTTGGATTGGAATTCCAATGTACATATTTTTACAATGAGTGTAAAATGGGTACAAAATTTGGTAGAATTTTTTGATCGGTCATGAAAATCTAGAAACAGTTAAATTTCAGTTGTTCGTGCGCTCCTTAATTTATCAGATGCCAAAGCTCGGATAAAGATAGATTAGATTATAGGCTACGCGAAGGAAAGTTAAACAGAAAAAAAGGTTAGATAAAAATACAAGATAACGATCCTTATTGATAATCAGAGATAAGATATTTCGACAAACAGAAACAATCTGAAATTTGATTGATTTGAATCTCGGATGGGATCATAAGAGATTGCAAATTTCATTGAAGAATTAAGGACCATGAATCAACAATCATATTTTCTTCAAGAAACCATTAAATTTCATTTAGTCTAATTCCTTAGTGAAGACATCAACAATTTAAGTGTAAGATAGAAAAATAAAATGAGTTTGATGTTAACATTTAAGACGGACGGAGATTGGCACTCGAGTGCAAATGCAGAATGGAGCTTGATTGCAAGACCCACTCGTCGAGCAGGGACGAAAGTCGACCTTAGTGATCCGACGATACCGAGTGGAAGGGTGGTCGCTGAACAGATAAAAGTTATGATCTTTAATGAAATGGTAATGAATATCTATGTGCTTGATCATCTAGTGATGAGTTGGATTATGAGAAATGAGGGTTGCACTTGAAGAATCACAACAGATGAGAATTTTCTTGATTCAGGAACCATAGTCCAATGATTGGGACTTCATCTTGAGAACTTTTTCAGGTGAAATAAGCAACAACAATGCATTCTGCTTTGGCTGTTGAAAGAGCAATGCAATTTGTTTATTGGATGACCAGCTCACCAATCTAACATCGAGGAATTGACCTCCTCTTGAGGTATTTTTTGACGGGTTTTCTAGGTTATAAGAAATCATATGAGTAGAAAAACACTTAAACCCTTAAGTTCAAAGGCAACCTAAAAAGGATCTATGTTTTCTCTGTTGATAACAATAAACTATAAACATCAAGAAAACCTAGGGAAATCCTACTATTATCGAAAATCATGTAGGAGTGTTGATACATAACTTTTGATTATTATAGCAAATAATCAAGTCAAAAACCTCTTGAGTTCCTTGGAAAGAAAGCACCAAAAACTTGAATGTCTCTAATGACTTGTACCCCAAACCCAAGGAAATAGAAGACTTGAGTAGATGGGAGAGGGAGAGCAATTTTCGGCTCTAACAGGAAGAAGAAGAGAGTGCATGAAAGTAAGGACCTTAGGGGTCCTATTTATAGTTGATAAGGAAAGCCATGGATAACACTACTCGAATATTATAATAATATCTCAATTATGATAATGAACCAACTCCTTATTTGTCAATGAGGAATCATTCTAGAAACCTTATGAGGCTTCCCAAAACCGTCCCCCCTCTCCCTATGCGAAGGTTCTGAAACCTCTCTTGTTCAACTATTAAACAATTACAGCGTAACCCATGCACTTTCAATTAATTCTAATTAACTCGAAATTAATTCCAAATTATTTTTGATTAATTATTAATATTTAAAACTAATATATTAATCATATAATATATTAATAAATCATTTATTTCATTTTGTAATTAGGTTGTTAATCAAATATATTAATTAGTTAGTCACTCTCTTTCTCCAAAATTCATTATATTCAGTTACTCGTTATAAAGGAAACCCAAAAAGGATTTTGCTTCTATTTCAAGAATATACCAATTTACTTATTGGCTTAGACGCCTTAATCCAACAGTCTCCCACTTGGATAAGTTTGTAACTACAATTGTGAGTATAGACCTTGAAATAAGTAGCAAAGAGTACTTTCCAAAGCCACTGCCAAACTCTGATTAAAATCAACTATTGGCCCTGAGATAAGTGATCAGATATCCCTTCGTTTTTCATGATATCGTATAATAACGAGACATGGATCAGAATCTATCTCAATGTCCAAGATTATGTTTCTTGATTTCCTGAATTGTAAAGATTTTATTGGACTTCAAATTGAACACATCAATTAGTCTTGGTTGGGCCCAACACTATATATATAGTCAACATCAAATCATCATGGGGCCTAATTATATCACTTTCGTGTTAGGGAAAAGATAACGAATAAACTTTGACTACATAACTGCAACCTTTACTAACCAAATAATATATGATCATATGTTTTATAACACGAAGTTATTGATGCGTTTACGCAACACCAATATACAACTGATATGTAAATTACAATTTATGTATCTCTGTTTGAAGAATAATAGATATTATCGTCTTAGAATTACTCGTGACTAGATCCATGAAGTAATCTCTAAGCGTGGTTTTATCCAATATTTCAAATGTCTATTTTCAAAGTACTCCTAAATATTGTAGCAACTCCAATTGCAATGTCTTAACCTCAATCGACAATCTAAACTCAATTCATGATAGTCTTAGTTCATTATCTACTTCTTAAGGTAGCATTGACTGTGGAAATTTGAATAATTGAAATTAAACTCAGGAAGTAAAACATGCTAAATGAAATATAAGAAAAAAATAATTGAATACAACAACACAATACTCATAAATATTCTCTATTATTCATTCACGTAAGTCAACTACATTTATTTTGTTACAAGTTTCAAAAA